AATATATATATATATATATATATATATATATATATATATATGTTTTAATTTATATATAAATTCTTTTTTATATTTCATGCAATCATATTCAAAATAAATTTTATTATCAGCTATAAATTTGCAATTGATTATTAAATTATGTAAATAATTAGGGAATCGACAACAGATATCGCATAATTTGTTATTTAAACGTTTTAGAAAAATAAAAAAAAGAACACGTGGCAGCAGAAGACCCACCCGGTGTTTTTCACCGGGTGTAACATCGAAGGAACCGCAAAATGACCCATAAGCCAGGTGCCCTCAAGTATCCGAACACGAAACGTGGATACGGAAAGTTCAAATTTAGGTGTTACTTTAGATAAAAAGAAAACTAATCCAATATTCACGGTGAAAAAGTAAATTCAAGAAAAAGGAAGAAATAAAGAAAAATAAAGGGGTAATATTTTAGATTTTAGATGATCGAAGTGGATAACATTTTGGAAATTATCAAAAGCATATTTGTATCGTTACAGTAGATAGATGAATGAATGAACGAAGCTTCACCACAAAGAAGATAGAATAATTGTTTCTTGATATTAAATGCAAATGGAGCTAAGGTTGCAAAATCTAACTCCACCACTTGCTTCCTTCAATCACAGTAAGTTCATATTCTCTTTGTTTCCTTTTCTTTAATTAAAGCCCTCTTTTAAGTTTCGGTATATCTATCTGTATACAATTTTATCCATTAATGGTGCTGAGTGTGGCTGTGGCTGTGGCTGCGGCTGCGGCTGCGGCTGCTGGTTCTAGGGTTTGTTTGTTCATTGATAGTTTGATACACATACAGTTATTGAGAAGATAATGTGATATTTATCATATGTGCAAACTCATTTATGACATTATTTAACTCGTTTCTTGATGGGGTTTTCTTCAATTGAAGAATTCAATTGCCAATTGCAGCTTTTGGTTACAATGAGTTAATTAAAGAAACTGCCTCCCAGCAGAGTTATTTCTCTCTGTTTCTTGGACCTCTGCTTATTCATGTAACAATTTGTTGGAGCAGATAGTTATGTTAGATAGATATTAAAAAAAAAAAAAAAAAAAACATAGGTTTTTTAGAAGCTTTGAGGGGGCCATGGCCCCCGTTGCCGCATGGCTACACGACCGGATGAATGGGCTATCAATTGGTTGTGTGCAACAATTTGAGGACTAATTTTTATCATGAGCTTAGATTTTGTTTTTTCTTATATTACAATGGTTTCGTATAGTTTCAAGAAAGTTTTACTAGTCATCCAAAATTAGAACAATATTTTTCCTCTTGTTCAACTGTTTGGACTGCTTTATACCTAACTAAATTATCGTCACAATGTCTTTACTATTTTTCGTGCAGAAGCCAGAAATTGCACGTCCGGAGTCCATATCAGATCTCTATATGCGAATAAGACAGAAATACGAGGTAGAAAAACAGTAAGGATACTGTCTGCCTTACCAGAAACAGCAGCTTCTATTGCAGTTACTGCCACAATCGTTGGTCTTGCCGCCACGTTGCTTGCAAGGAGAACCAAGAGTTCTCAAGTAAACGAGGCACGTCTAACAATTTCTTGTACATTTTTGCCCTCTGTTATTAACAATAATTAGAAGTAAACTATATGGAAAAAAAAGGGCCTCGTTTTTTTTTTCCCCAAGAATCTGTACACTTATAACATGTGTGGGACAATTGTTTTAAAACAAATCATAAAATATCTCTTGTTTCTTGATTCCACACTCTGAAAAATCGATTTCTAGGCAAAATAACTTGTGATTTTTGTTTATTTATTTTTCCATCTTTGTTTTTCTTGATAGGAACCTACAAAGAGTTGCGAGAACTGTGGAGGTTCGGGTATATGTCCTGAATGCAAAGGTGAAGGTTTTGTTCTTAAAAGAATGTCTGAACAAAATGCCGAGAGAGCAAGGTTGATGGCAAAAGATATGGCAACTAGATACACAGCAGGGTAAACTTGTCCAAATATTTATTCCTATATAAACTACTAGTGTTTTTTTCGGTTGGGGGGCCACGACCCCCCGTTGCGCTAATATGGACTTTGTTGACAGGCTTCCGAAGAAGTGGAGCTACTGCACAAAATGCTCTTCTTCGAGGTCATGTAATACATGCGGTGGCACTGGGAAGCTAAGCTACACGAATTAATTTCACGTTTCATATCATGATATATATAGCTCAAATTTCGTGCTTTGGTGATTATTGTGGCTTCATTTTGAGCAAAAAATCACGAGTTGAGTTGACTTTATCAGCAAATAGTCGGAAAATTGTTGACATTTTTATTTATTTATGCTGTTTTGATGATTCTTTTGGATGACATACTCAAGTGCATAATTCGCGGAATCTTTTAGGTACAGAGAATGATAATTTGTTGTATTTGTATATTATGTGTGTACATGAATATATATGTGCATAAATTATGGAATCATTTGTGTGTATGTGTTTGTGTGAAGGGATTGTCATTTACATATATATTAAAAGACTTTTGAGCTTCAAAAGATTTTGTCATGTTTTGTTAACGGGATATGATAAATGTCGTTCCACTCTTAATAATATTGTTTCAACTTCAAACGTAATTATGACCATTTTTCAAAGTTAACATACGAATTTTGCAGTCCTTTGATTTGACTTTCTAATCCAACTTGAATCACCGAGATTGGATGTCAGTTGAGAAATATATGCATGAATTAATGAACATTGTCCATAATTTTGATGTTTTGAGTTATCTAAAATTCAAAATGTAACTCGTTAATGTATAACTTTTTTATCCGACATCCAATTTAGCTGGTACAAGTTGGATTAGAAAGTTAATCCAAATGACTACAAATTCTGCGTTTCGTGTTGTGCCAAAATCAGACCATAAAAGAGTCAAAATCACGTTAGAAATTAAAACAATATTCGTAAAATTGAAACGTCATTTAATATTTCAGTTTGCATATTTTTGTTCTTGTACTACCTTGCACATGCGACATGTCGCAACTCTCGAAATTTTATATTTGTCTGAGTTTAATTAAGACTCGGAAACTAATTTAATGAGCAACATCACAAAATTTAAAAAAATAAACAAATATTATCCCATTTAAAAAA